GAGGCGGAAACCTCAGCACCGTTCTCCAGGCCTTTGTTTCTCTCGCTCTCACGCCTCTCACCCCAAACCCCGTGGGACCCGGTGGCCAGGGTCCCCGCTCCGCCCAACCCGCCCCCTGTGTCCGCTTCTCAGCTCCCCTCCACCTGAAGCCCCGCGGGGCTTCCCGTCCCACCCCACTCGTTAGGAAGGCGAACCCAGCCGACTGGGTCCCTGTGGCCTGGTCCCCGCCCCCGCCCGCTCCCTCCTGTACAGCAGCAGCGTCTGCTGGGAACTTGGTGGAAGCGCGGAGTCTCAGGCTCCACGTGCCCCTGCAGCAGCAGCACTGGAGGGGGGCCCGGCAGTCCGTTCTAACAAGCCTGGGGCAACTCTGATGCCCAGACTGGAGAACCACTGAGCTGGGAAGAAAGGACCCGAGCCTTCACCCCGAGTAAAGGGTGGCCTGCAAGAGCCGCCCCGTTTGACGGAACAGATCCATTCAGGAGCGTTTGCATCACTGGCTCCCCCCCCCCCCCCCCCCCACCTGCCCTCGGACACCCTGCAGCTCCTTGCCCCCCGGGCCTTCCTTCCCTGCGGCCCTGCTCTGCCCTCCACCTGCTCTCCCTGAGGCAGCACGCACCTCTCGGCTGCCGTGGTCCACACGTGGATCCTGCCCATACTCTGAGCCGAGTCTGCTGGTCTCGTTCAGCTGTGTTCTCGGTGCCTGAGCGTGGGTTTGAATCAGCCCCGCTGCACCCGCTTCCCCGCTTGCTGAGAGGGAAGCTGGGGTTGGGGGACCAGCAGCAGCTTGGCTTGCTGCTGTTGGTGCTGCAGCCCGCGTGCCTGAACAGGGACACTGACCCCGTGCACTGTCACAGCAGCAGTCCCTGCAGAACCTCTGCTGGGAGGTGTGGGCGCCACGGACAATTAGTTATTTTTTTGTTGTTGATCCTCACCCTCGGGTGTTTTTCCATTGATTTTTAGAGAGGGGGGCAGGGAGACAGACACATCTGTGACCTAGGTGCGCGCCCTTCACTGGAATCGAACCCGGGACCCTTCAGTCTGCAGGCCGACGCTCTATCCACTGAGCCACACCAACTAGGGCTACAGTTGGTTCTTAAGCATCTCGATGTTTTCTTATTTCAGCTCTGGATTAATCGAATCACAGCTGCCTCCCAGGAGCACGGCCTGCATTACCCAGCGTTCGTTGGCAATTTAATTAAGGTATGGCTGAGGACGTGGCCCTGTTGCGATGTTGAGTGTCTGCAGAAACCGGTCCAGCTGGCGTGACCCCACAGCCCGGCAACGCAGTATTAGCACCTGAACACGGATTCGTTATCTGGGTGGAGTTCTGTCAGGTCAGGGTCTCCCCACGTTAGCTTTGCCCTTGTCCTGCTGGTGGTAGAATTGGAAATAGGCAAGACACAATTACCCTTTCTCCATCCAGGGAAAAGGGCAGAAACACTTGGCTTTAACTTTAAAGTTTAATTTCACAGTTTTCGCTCTGATGAGGCAGCAGAGAGTTGAAACTCATCCTATATAATAAAAGCTTAATATGCTAAGTGTCCAGTCAACCAATCAAAGTGTAATATGCTAATGATATGCTAAGGCTGCTCAACTGCTTGCTATGACGTGCACTGCCCTCCAGGGGGCAGACGCTCCAACCCGTAGGTTAGCTTGCTGCTGGGGTCTAGCTGATTGGGACTGATCAAGACCAACGGGCTGGACACGCCCTGGCTGGCCATCCTCCCGTGTCCCTCTCTGGCCCCAATCGTGTACCGGTGGGGTCCCTCGGCCTGGCCTGTGTCATCTCGCAATTTGGGAACCCTTGCGGGGGATGTCGGAGAGCCGGTTTCAGCCTGATCCTGCCGGCCTCTAGTAATGTCTGGAGGGAAAATATCTTGAAGGGGGTAGAGTAAATGTGTGTCACAAAACCTTGGTAATTGTTCTGTTTGGTGTTTATGCTATTTTCTGAGGGGTTGGGTGTTGCACTTCTATCTTGTACCAGTTTCTGTCTTTGGTAATTTTTTTAAAGCTTTTTATTACTTTGGTTAATCCTCACCTGAGGGTATTTTTTCCACTTTTTTAAGAAAATATTGATTTCAGAGAGGAAGGGAGAGGGAGAGATAGATAGAAACATCAATGATGAGAATCATTGATTGGCTGCCTTCTGCACGTCCCCTACTGAGGATTGAGCCCACCACCCAGGCACATGCCCTGACCAGGAATCGAACTGGCAACCTTTTGGTGCATGGGACCACACTCGCCCCCTCCCCCCCATCCCCCGATTATTGA